AAGAGGAGCCAGGGATTGAACCGCCGACCTTCCGATTAACGACCAACCCGCTCTGAGCCACAGCCGCCCATATTAAGTCAGTGATGTCAATTTGAATCGTGAGCTTCAAGGCTGAGGTCAGTTTTGACCCTGACCTGCTGCCGTCCTCCAGTTGACACAGTTTATTGATCAGTTTGTGTTTAACCTGCTGTTTGCTGTTTTATGTAACATTAATGTGCGGGTCACTGAATTCAAGGCCGACTAAGAGTTCAGCAAAATACAAAATACATCTGTTCTACATGGTGGTGAAAAGTTTATAAAGGGTACTTTAATTAAAAGCTGCACAGTTTTGAAGTACTTGTACTTTATACTTATACTCCAGTTCAGAACAAAGTATTTTACTTTTTACTTTGGTTACTTTGCAGTTTCAGATTGATAATACAAAGTTAAGTCAACTAATAAATTATCATGTATTATTATAAGTCAATACTTTCTTGATTCCCGGGGAGAAATTCACAAGTTACCCAGCAGTATAGCAAATATTTTGAATGAACTCCACCTTTACCAGCTGCTAATGAAAATATTAATGCATCAACAATTAGAATATCAAGTAATATAAAAAACATTATCTGAAATGAGTAATTTTACATCTGGCATCTATGAGAGTGCTAATGTACTATTGTACTTTTACCTCAAACTGTATTGTACTGTAGTTAATGATTTCATATACCTAAAATTTGAAACATCTTATTCACTACTACTATTTATCCTTACATTTTTGTTAATACTGTTAAGTACTCCTTTATGATTAGATTTGATATTTAGATTTTCATAATTCCCACTTATCTACTTTCTATTATTATTTCTATTCCTTAATATCTTGACATGCAAAGTGAGGAACTGGAGCAAACGAATTTACCCTCAGGGATCAATGAAGTTTTTTAATTCTGATTTCTGAAGTATAAACTCTGTAAAAGTATTATGTACTTAATAAACCTCGTTGGTTTTTACTAAAAGGATTAGTTCACTAATAAACATTTTCCCTTTTGCCCCACTAATACAGTGGGTACGGAAAGTATTCAGACCCCTTTACATTTTTCACTCTTTGTTTCTTTGCAGCCATTTTCCAAAAATCAAAAAAGTTCATTTTATTTCTCAGTAATGTACACTCAGCACCCCATCTTGACAGAAAAAAACAGAAATGTAGAAATTTTTGCAAATTTATTAAAAAAGAAAAACTGAAATATCACATGGTCATAAGTATTCAGACCCTTTGCCGTGACACTCATATTTAACTCAGGTGCTGTCTATTTCTTCTGATCATCCTTGAGATGGTTCTACACCTTCATTTGAGTCCAGCTGTGTTTGATTATACTGATTGGACTTGATTAGGAAAGCCACACACCTGTCTATATAAGACCTTACAGCTCACAGTGCATGTCAGAGCAAATGAGAATCATGAGGTCAAAGGAACTGCCTGAAGAGCTCAGAGACAGAATTGTGGCAAGGCACAGATCTGGACAAGGTTACAAAAAAATTTCTGCTGCACATAAGGTTCCTAAGAGCACAGCGGCCTCCATAATCCTCAAATGGAAGACGTTTGGGACGACCAGAACCCTTCCTAGAGCTGGCCGTCCGGCCAAACTGTGCTATCGGGGGAGAAGAGCCTTGGTGAGAGAGGTAAAGAAGAACCCAAAGATCACTGTGGCTGAGCTCCAGAGATGCAGTCGGGAGATGGGAGAAAGTTGTAGTAAGTCAACCATCACTGCAGCAATCCACCAGTCGGGGCTTTATGGCAGAGTGGCCCGACGGAAGCCTCTCCTCAGTGCAAGACACATGAAAGCCCGCATGGAGTTTGCTAAAAAACACCTGAAGGACTCCAAGATGGTGATAAATAAGATCCTCTGGCCTGATGAGACCAAGATAGAACTTTTTGGCCTTAATTCTAAGCGGTATGTGTGGAGAACACCAGGCACTGCTCATCACCTGTCCAATACAGTCTCAACAGTGAAGCATGGTGGTGGCAGCATCATGCTGTGGGGGTGTTTTTCAGCTGCAGGGACAGGACGACTGGTTGCAATCGAGGGAAAGATGAATGCGGCCAAGTACAGGGATATCCTGGACGAAAACCTTTTCCAGAGTGCTCTGGACCTCAGACTGGGCCGAAGGTTTACCTTCCAACAAGACAATGAGCCTAAGCACACCGCTAAAATAACGAAGGAGTGGCTTCACAACAACTCCGTGGCTGTTCTTGAATGGCCCAGCCAGAGCCCTGACTTAAACCCAATTGAGCATCTCTGGAGAGACCTGAAAATGGCTGTCCACCAACGTTTACCATCCAACCTGACAGAACTGGAGAGGATCTGCAAGGAGGAATGGCAGAGGATACCCAAATCCAGATGTGAAAAACTTGTTGCATCTTTCCCAAAGCGACTCATGGCTGTATTAGATCAAAAGGGTGCTTCTACTAAATACTGAGCAAAGGGTCTGAATACTTATGACCATGTGATATTTCAGTGTTTCTTTTTTAATAAATTTGCAAAAATTTCTACATTTCTGTTATTTTCTGTCAAGATGGTGTGCTGAGTGTACATTACTGAGAAATAAAATGAACTTTTTTGATTTTTGGAAAATGGCTGCAATGAAACAAAGAGTGAAAAATGTAAAGGGGTCTGAATACTTTCCGTACCCACTGTATATCTTATCACCTTGACAAACTAAACTGAAACTCTCTGCATGGCGAGATATCACTAGTTTTTTTGTGAGTTGTGTGAAGTGACCCGTAAATTGAAGGAAAACTGGCAGGTGTTTCACTTTTACTTCATATTTAACAAATACTACACAAGCACTGTTGTTATTGGATAGCTACTGTACAAGCTGATTCAAAGTACTGCTGCAGTACAGTGTTGATTACATCATAACACACGCAGTGTCCAGAAATACTCGTGTCCTCTCCACATGTCAGACTGCTGTCATGTGTTCCTGGTGAGGTTTTAAAGGTCAGAGGGGGGCCGTCAGTCCTAAACTGCTCGTATGGACGGGATTACATCACACTTTGTTTACTGCTTTTATTCCTTTTGCTCCGTCTTCAGATCTGGTTACATTGACTTGTTTGTGAAGCATGAAGCTCATTTCTGTTTTGTAGTTTAGGGGACTTTACTGGTTAGTAACGGGAACTTAAACACTGTGAGCACATAATGGTAGACTACTGTTTATTCTAGTGTGCAAATTTAGGTTCTTCTGACTTTCTCAAGACATTTAAATGCATTTAAAATTAGATTTTTCTTTACAGCCGTCAGACTGACTTCACAACTCCAAAACACACTGGATCCTACAGCTGGTACACTTCAGTGTATTAACGGTCTGTCTTCTTTGCTGTGTTTATGACCATAGTAAAATGAGGCTTCTGTCTCTTCTTTAAACTCAGCTGTTTGCTCTCAGCCTGACATCAACCTCGAGCACTGTAAATCTGCTTATCTGCAAATTTACAGTGTTTCATTTCATACTGTGTGATACACTCTATAGACTAAAAGGTTTAACATCATTGTTTCTTTATGAGGGGGAATTTGTTTTACAGTCAAGACATTTAGCAAAAGTTTATCTATTTATGTATTCTAAAATTATTAAATTCCTAAAAGTGCTTCTAGTCTCCTGGCTTTACTACCTAAAGTCTCCCTTATATTTAGTTGCCTTTGCTGTCTTTGTTTAGCACTGCAGTAGCTTCTGTTACAGAAGCTTCGTAAATCACGAGATTTGCAGCACGAGATTAAAATCTAATCTGTGCAGGACTTTGTAGTTGTGGGTGAGTACTGTGTCTCTGTATGCGCACATTCACACATGCACAGTGCAACATAGTAGGGAGATTAAAAAAAGAAGAGAGAAAAGGCACAAAAACGATTCTCAAGAATCAGGAGTATACAGGGGTTTAAAATGCAAACACAGAAAACAAACCTTCATTTAGTCTCTTTACATATCAAAACATTTCATACCAGGTCCAAATATGACATGAATGCTAAAAACAGAATTTTAAATGTCCAGGTGTTTCCCACAGGATTTTGGACACATTGTAAAGATATAAATGCTATAAATGAGGGTATTTAAGGTTTTTCTAGCAACCCAAAATGAAAATAGTAATAATTTCCATTTTAGTGTTTTTTTTTAAATAGAACTTTTAATGGACACAATCCAGTTGATCTTATTTCCATACTGTATAGATGTTGTGTTAACATCTTATTTTGAAAACCGGATGTTGTCACACGTGTATCCTTGCTCTAAGTTTGATAAATAATGTTGTATGTGGTTCTTGCATCGTGTAACATGAAGACTTCACAGTCTCTCTTCAGGTAGGACTCTCATACTGCAATATTTGTCTTTGTAAAGAGAGAAACTGACAGGATGAAGTCGCTAACCTGCCTGTCAGCTCGCACTGCTCCATGTCAGTGCATTTACCGTAAAGTCTCGAATCTGTGCTGCTTGATGTGGCTTCCGTCAAAAATGGACTGGCAGTGAATATTTAACTTTAGCTAAACCAAAAAAAAAAATCACAAATCGTAATTGCAATATCTGGCAGAAAAATTGCAATTACATTTTTTCCCCCAAATCGTTCAGTCCTAATGGATACACTCAAAGCTGTACAAACTTACAGTTAACATTACTGTACTGACCTCAAACGATGTCGTGTCCTCAAAAGAAAACGCATCCGAGTCAGATGCGTTTGAAGTGTGTGAGCGTGCAAGCTTACAGCAGCGGGAAGAAGCGCCACAAAACACAACGTTAGAGCTCTTTAATGTTATTATGAGAAGTGTAAAAATATTTTCAGTTCATTTTGAAACTATGGTGGAGCAAAGACTGTGGCGGGCCGCCATAGCACATGTTTTCATGTACAATGTGTAATTAGACGTGCTTAAATATGAAAAGTTACCTGGTTCATCTAACTCCTGTCCTTTAAGGCACAGGTGTATGTTACCTGTCTAAACCTGACTTCTTGTCTCTTTAAATGTGTCTCTGCTGTGTCCGCTCAGATCCAGCCCTATGAAAAGATCAAGATGAAGGGTCTTCCTGACGACGTCGCCGCCAGCCTCAACAAGCTCGCTGTAGTCAAACTGAACGGCGGTCTGGGAACCAGCATGGGCTGTAAGGGCCCCAAGAGTCTGATCAGCGTACGCAACGAGAACACCTTCCTGGACCTGACCGTCCAGCAGATCGAGGTAGAGACACACAAAACACAACAAGCAGCGGCTCCGAACCTCTGAGTCTCAGGTTGAAGTGAACTCTATTGTCTTTGTTTTCAGCATCTGAACAAAACCTTTAACGCCGACGTGCCACTCGTTCTCATGAACTCCTTCAATACGGACGAAGACACGAAGAAGATCCTGCAGAAATACAAACACCACAGAGTGAAAATCCACACCTTCAACCAGAGCAGGTATCGTAGCAGTCGTCTTGTGCTTGTGTACTCGCTTTCATACAAACTTCACTCAATAAAAATAAAAAATTTATTATATTATTATATTATTTATATATTATTATTAACTATTAACTTACGTTACAAGTCGCGGTGTATATTTTACACACGGACCAAAATATGGAAAGGGGGGGGGTTTACAATCACAATGCCAGCTTAACGTCGTGATGTCAGCCATCGCCGATAGACAAACCCTTGTTTATAACAGCCTGAACAGCACAAGTTAGAGAGAATCTGATTTGGGTCACGTTTATATGTGGTCCAAATCAGATACAGGATTTGTTTCTGGACCGTCAAATTGGAGTTCATGTGACTCTGGCGTAACTCTAGAGCCATTATTCCCACCCAGGGGTACTTCTGCAGTTGCCAGGGGGTATTAGGAAAAAGTTATGAATATCCACACATTTCTGTGTAGGAGAAAGTTATTGTCACAATAACCTACCAACTATGTTTGTCTGCACAATACATGCCTCAGTTTTCCACCAACCTGAGTCAATTGTAAGTTTATTAAGACTGCAGTAATAGTAGTTGTAGTTGTAGAATGTAAAAATGCTGTAAATGGTTAAAACAACCCGTTCCTGCCTCGTTGTGTCGTCTCTTGTAGGCCATGTAAAGTTCACAGTGGAGTCTGATATGGGCCACATTTAAACAGTAATGTGAACAGTGAATCAAAAAAATATTTTGGGCAATAAATCAGAATTGAGCATTAAGGCCTGTAGACTGAACAGAGGATTAGATCCTTTTATATTTGATGCCCATAACAGATATTAATCCACACTCACAAAATACATGGACTTTTCAGTTGGATAATATCTTAGGATGTGTGTGTTCATACATATAAGGAAAGTCTGTCTGTTAAAAGAGTTGAGTTGAAACAGCAGTACACAGCTGAATCAGGTGCTTCTCACTTCGAGGACAGCAAACTTCCAAGGGAGAAAAGGGAAGTAGAGCACTTTTTTTTTTTTTTGCTGTTTCTCAGTGATCAAAAGCTGCATTTTAATAATATAATTGTTCTGGGCAGGTATCCGAGGATCAACAAGGAGTCTCTGCTGCCCATAGCCAAAAACATGGGGATGAATGGTGAGAATTCAGAGGCCTGGTACCCGCCAGGTCACGGAGACATCTATGCCAGCTTCTCCAACTGCGGTCTGCTGGACAAACTCATCGCTGAGGGGAAGGAGTACATCTTCGTGTCCAACATCGACAACTTGGGCGCCACCGTCGACCTCTTCATCCTCCACCACCTGATGAGCCAGCCAGCCGACAAACGCTGCGAGTTCATCATGGAGGTCACCGACAAGACCAGAGCTGACGTCAAGGTCAGTGCAGATCGGCATAATTTACTAAATGAACATCATGCTGTGTTGAAGAAGACTTGAAACTAGCGACTGAGACCACAAACTCATCAGGAAAGTGTTTACTGAGGGAATAAATCAGCTGAGAAGTAGAAAGATTTTCTCAGAGACTTCTATACAATCACACTTCTTTCTGCAGCTGGTCGAGTCGCCCCCTGCTGGCTGTTATAGGGAACGCAGGTTGAGCATTGGCTTCACTTTTCAGACCCGGCCTCAGCACTTCCTGCTTCCTCTCCGCAGGGTGGCACACTGATCCAGTACGAGGATCACCTGAGGCTGCTTGAGATCGCGCAGGTACCGAAGGCGCACGTGGACGAGTTCAAGTCCGTCACCAAGTTCAAGATCTTCAACACCAACAACCTGTGGATCTCTCTGCCCGCCATCAAGAGGCTGCACGAGAAGAACTCCATGGACCTGGAGATCATCGTCAACCCAAAGGTGACGGACACATTCACATGAAATAATGCACACCGTTACAGTTACGAGGCCGTCAGTCGGTTTGTACATGACAACAATACTTTATTTTACAGGTCTGTCATTTTCTAACAAGTTTATAGGACATTTTCATAATGGAACAAATTCGGTAATTAAATGTAAAATAGAGACTGTCTAATTAATGAGTTAGAATCATCTGAACATTGAACAATAAGAACTCTGTTCTTAGTCAAGCAGAGTTTCTTGTAATAAATTAACAATCAATTCATATTTACTTTGGTTTAAATTGCGCTTTTCATCAAGAAAAAAACTAAACTCAGCATGAAATTTCTTAGGAAATTGTTAAACACATGTACATGTAAAATAAAACATTACCACAAAGTGTAGCACAGGTGAGCCAGGTAGGAAGTACCATTGTTTACTATCTGGCAGAGATGGGGACTCGAGTTTGAGAGACTTGAGACTTGACCTCTAGCTCAGAGACTTGAGAATTGACCTCTAGCTCAGAGACTTGACCTCTAGCTCAGAGACTTGACCTCTAGCTCAGAGACTTGACCTCTAGCTCAGAGACTTGAGAATTGACCTCTAGCTCAGAGACTTGAGAATTGACCTCTAGCTCAGAGACTTGACCTCTAGCTCAGAGACTTGACCTCTAGCTCAGAGACTTGACCTCTAGCTCAGAGACTTGAGACTTGACCTCTAGCTCAGAGACTTGACCTCTAGCTCAGAGACTTGAGACTTGACCTCTAGCTCAGAGACTTGACCTCTAGCTCAGAGACTTGAGACTTGACCTCTAGCTCAGAGACTTGACCTCTAGCTCAGAGACTTGACCTCTAGCTCAGAGACTGCTGACTCGTGGAGATTTTAAGTTGTGGGTCCTCTGAAACCATCAGTCTCTAACTAAAATAAACTCCTTAAACGCCTTTTTTGAAATATTTCAGCACTCACTTAGTTTACAATAAGGCATTGTGCATTTTTGGACTTCCTCATCAGACTCACACCCTCAGTTGCTACATCTAATAAGTAATAATATGCCTAAACTGACTTTTTGTTGGTGTAAATGGGATGAAGTTGATCAACACGTTTCTAAAACAGTTTCAACACACACAATATTAAAACCTTCATAAAGGAGGTAATTATTATTACTACCTAATACCTTGCTAGGACTGAACCATTAATTAAAATCTTATCTAAATTGCAAAATGGCCTTCAACAATTTTCAAATCAAATGAGGTGCAATATTTGTTAAAGGCAAAATGTGTGTCAAAATACCATTTTAAATGAAAAATTGTCTTGAGGCCGGTCTTAAGACCTCTTTTTGTGGGTCTTGGTCTCGTCTCAAACTCGACCGCATTTGTACCCGGTCTTGTCTCGGTCTCGGACATTGAGGACACTGGATTTTATTTCAAGACCATAACGTTGTGAATATCAATAAATTGCTTTTGCATTGTCTGATTTATTTGTTAACATCCTAACTTTGATTGGATGTAAAACATATTGCTTCAAATGCAACCAATAACTACAATTAAGAATCTCCCGATGCTGCCTTTTCCAACTCTAACCGAACACCTGAATGTCTCTCTCTGCAGACGTTGGACGGCGGCTTGAATGTCATCCAGCTGGAGACGGCCGTGGGCGCCGCCATTAAGAGCTTCAACAACGCCATGGGCGTGAACGTCCCCCGCAGCCGCTTCCTGCCGGTGAAGACGTCGTCCGACCTCCTGCTGGTGATGTCAAACCTGTACAGCCTGGACGCCGGCTCGCTCACCATGAGCAAGAAGAGGGAGTTTCCCACCACGCCACATGTCAAGTTGGGCAGCTCCTTCACCAAGGTCGGTACTGACCAGACACGCTTTTGTCTGAAACTAGGGATGCACTGAAATGAAAATTCTTGGCCGAAACTGAATATAATGAAAAAAATTGCAGAAATACTTTCTGTGAATATAATGCAATTAATCTTATTTCCATCCTGTATAGACACCTTACTTAGAAAACCGGATGTTGTCACATGTGTATCCTCGCGCTAAATTCATCAAGTCTGACCCAGTTTGATAAATAATTAATAAATAAATCAAATATGTGGTTCTTGTATGGTGTAACATGAAGACTTCACAGCCTCTCTTCAGGTAGGACTGTCATACTGCAACACTTGAAATGACAGGATAAAGTCTCTAACCTGCCTGTCAGCTCGCACTGCTCCGTTTCAGTTACCATAAAGGCTTGAATACGTGTGCACTCCAAATTTCTGTGCGGCTAGCTTAATCGTCTTCTCAGAAACGAGTGACAGAAACACTCAAACCGGGTGAGAACATTTGTTGCCTTTTCTAAGAAGTCAGCGTGCTAGGAGACAAGTCAGCAGCGTCTGCAAACGGTGAGTTTGGTTCTTTCTGGGACACATTAAAATGCTTCCACACTGCTGACATGTCAAAGTAATTGTTCGGTAAAATTTAATTGGTCTTTTGACTTATTAAGCCGAACACCAAGCTTTTTTTTTTTTGTTTAACTATTTTCAGCGGCCGAACATTCAGTGCATCCCTATCTGAAACATTTAAAAACTGCCGAGAGCAGCCACAGGAAATCCCATCATCTTTGAACCTCCAGGAGTTTAAACACTTTGTCTTTAGTTAAAAAAACATTTTTTTATAAAAAGGTTTTTAGAGATTAATATCCTGTTCATTTACCGGATAATATTATTATCTTTAGGTAGCAATAATGAGTTAATTGGCTTCTTTTTATTTATTTTTCCAGGAAAGCAGTAATTTCTTCATGATGTTGAATGAATTTTATTGTTGTTATCTTTATAAAACAAAAGGTTATTTTATCCTGTCATCACCATTATCGATATCGAAAGATATGACACTTTTCATCATGATAACATTTCTGGCCATATCGTCCAGCTCTAGTTTGTTGTTTGTTTTTTTACCAGCAGACTGTAAGACCAATAATTGAACAACATTTCCACCACATGGATTTTGTTTTCTATTTCTGGACCGTTTGAGTTTTGCCTTTGAGAGTCCAAACCAGACCAGCTGGAAAACTTAAACAATGCAACATCCTCACGCTGGTACAGTTCAGGAACCGGACCTTTAGGTGTGAACCCGCTCCCTTAAATATTGCAATCAAGGCAACACTCTGCTTCCGTGCTTCTGATTACTTGCTGAAAAGCACCGCAGGAAACAGTTTAAACTATCAACACTGTTAAAGGGTTTCTCAAAGCTGCTGCTGCTGCTGTTCCAGTTAATAAAAATGGTTTCTCTATTGTTGTAGCTTACTCTCAAATCAATAAGAGGAACAGTTTTCAGGAACCAGGGGCAGTTGAAACAGTTCTGATGTCGTTGTGTGTTCTGCAGGTTCAGGATTTTCTGACCAGGTTTGAGAGCATTCCGGACATGTTGGAGCTCGACCACCTCACTGTGTCGGGAGATGTCACCTTCGGAAAGAACGTCTCTCTGAAGGTAAAGAACATTTCCAACCTCTGACCTTTCACAGCTGCCGTTAACGCTGATCTGCCGACGCTGATCGAGAAAATTCTACATTTTATGAAACATTAGCAAGTCGAGTTTTCTTACACCCCAGATCCAGCTAACGCTAACAGTAGCAACGTCTCAGGTACAAAACACCTTTTATACTGAAGGGAAACCAGTGATGGCTACAAATGAGTCCCCAGAGACGCCCCTCTAGGACAGAGACTCCTTTCACTTTAGCCATGAAGGGGATGATGAGCAAGGAAGAGGATGAAGGTCACCGAGCGCTGACAGGATCTGTGCTGAAGGAACCAGAGCCCTGATTCAATAAGAACCGGATTCAATAAGTAAAATTGAATTCACCTCAGTTATGTTGCATGAATTGAATCAAACTGAAACAAAACCCAACCCTACCACTCATAAGCGGAGGTAGCGTGGGTGAATGGGGCCGACCCACGCTACCTCGTAGTACAAATCAGAGTTACATATACAGAATATATTCACATTTACTCAGCTGATGCTTTTATCCAAAGATCCCACAGGGAGCATTTCAGAATAAGAGCGTTTTGCCTGCCTGATTTTGCTGATGTGTTTAGATTTTGTTGACTTGGTGATTAGCGCTTGTTTTTTTGTGCTTCTACTATGATTAAGTAGGCTACGAAGTTAAATTGTTTCTTGTGTCTGTTTTAACTGTGTTTCTTGATATACGATCATGGGTCTGCACAGGGTATTTTATTTTGAAAATGGCTGCGTATTCTCTCTAGAGAGGAGCGGAGAGACACTTCTGGTATAAATTACTTTGTAGCTGGTGGGCCCCGTGATGAAGCTCCGCCTCCACTGTGCTGAGAGTCTAGCTCTGCCCCTGCTACCGCTGCAGATCCCTCTGGTCCTCGGCCATGTTTTCAGTCAGGATGCTTTCTATTGCTTCTCTGAAGAAGTTGACTTGGGAATTTAGCCTTCTTAGGTTTTATTAAGAACTACAGTCGTTTTTGAGCTTTCTTCACCAGCATGGAGACGTGAGATGACCATGTCAGGTTTTCTGCATACATTTTCCTGATTTATACTTTTTAGTATAATTTTAAATGCAGTACTTTTAATTCTAACAGTATTTTTGGTATTGGTACTTTTACCTCCATCTGCGGCTGTTTGTGTAAACACTGGATGGGACATGGCGACACAATGACTTTATCTTCACTGTTTTTAATGAAACTTTCTCTTCCACAAGGGAACCGTCATCATCATAGCCAATCACGGTGACCGGATCGATATTCCTGCCGGAGCGATGCTGGAGAACAAGATCGTTTCAGGAAACCTGCGGATCCTCGACCACTGAGGACTTCTGGGAAACTCCCCACCACCACCACCACCATCCACAAACGAAGCCATTTGCACCTTGAAGAGCCTCAAAGAGAAGAGTTTTCTTCTCTTCACTGATGAACTATCGCAGCTTGTTTTTGTCCGTCTTCACCCTGTAATTTCTATGTAAATCCTGCCTAAAAAGGGTCACAGGTCAAACCCCCTCCTTCTTCCTGATGCATCTGCAGACTTTCTGCTCATCGTGAAGCTTTTCAGGAAGAAACTTGCTGTTACTGCAAACAATCGCTGCACAGTCTGTTTCTGCTGTCTATTAAAGTGCAATATGGGTCAACGAGTGTCGTGTGATGTTTAGGTGAAGTACAGGCAGAAACTGGAGTAGCGCTTTTTTTGTTTTAAAGTGGCCATTTGTAGTTTTTTTCTGAGGCCTCTAGCACTGAGGTTTAAGATTGCAACTGCTACCTTCCCAAGCGTGTGCTCGTGTATCAGTAAAACAACAAATCTAAATTGAACAGTACAAAGCAAACATCATCAGATCCATGCTAATGTGGCTGGCTGCCACTGCCCTGCATCACTACTGGTTTTAGAAACAGATCGTTCTCATTCATTAAAGAGGTCATATTCTGCTAATTTTCAGGTTTACATGGTTTCATTTTCAAAAAACACCTTTGTTTTTTCTTCATACTGCACATTGCTGCAGGTCCTCTTTTCACCCTATTTTGTAGCTATGGAGTGATACATCTTGCCTCTAAATGATCTTTGTTGGGAGTTGCACATGCGCAGTTCCTAGTTAAGGACTACTAGCCAATCAGAAGCAGAGAAGGGCGGGTCAGTGAGAAGCCGGTAAACAGCTTCGATTCAGCTGTACCCAGTCCATGTTGCCAAGCTGGTCGGCAACATGGACTGGAACAAGTGTCAGAGTGGTGAGTTATTAATCTGTAACAAAAGTATCTTTCATCAATAAAGTTTTAACTGAGCTCTGTCTCTACATCACAGTAACAACTTTATGTCCATTGACTGCCTGGAGGGGGAGCTAGTGTTTGGAAGGGAGAGGAGAGAGCTGTGTGCTGCAGCTCACTGTTTTTCCACCGCTGTTTTTGAGTAGCGCATTTAGCTTTCATCCCTTTGTCGTCACAGGGACTACAAACGAGCCGTTTTCTGGCAGTTCAGAGCAGAGTTTTCTGTGGGAGATGGGAACTCCCTTTGGGCTTTTGCAAACCTATTACATGCACAAAAAAGGTTTGTTAATGCAAAGTGCTCATCAATAATCACAACCATTCATGCAGTTTAACATTTTGAAAGTCCTGCCCCATATTGGTCGGTTCAGGAAAAATAACTGAGGAGCAACTTTATGCACTCGCTTTTTAGATGACGTTAGACCAATGTTTCGGTTTAGGATGGGTGGGCCTACGTGACTGACCAATGATGGCATGCAAGAAGGCGGGACCTAAAGAGCAAAGCAATGCAAATATGCACTGTAGAAAGAAAAAGCTGAATCCTGGACAGGTCTGGGAAAAGAGGGCATATGGTCACCCTAACTGTTACAGCATTTCTTGCAGGATAAATCAACACATAACACCAGTGGTGCACAGGATTAACAATGTGGATCGCATTAACTGGTGATCAAACCATAAAGTTACAACAATAGGATTTTGTACCTGAAACGTTAGCAACTGGTTGGAGTTAGCAGGCAAGCTAACATTATCTAACTTGAGCCAACTCACTCATTGTCAACAGCTTATCGTCTGTACAGGGGGGCTGGAGCCATCCCAGCTGGCAGTGGGTGTAGAGGCGGGGTACATCCTGGACACTCACACTCGCACCCAAGGACAATTTAGAGTCACCAATTAACCTGCATGTCTTTGGACTGTGGGAGAAAGCCGGAGCACCTGAAGAGAACCCACGCAGACACGGGGAGAACAACTTGTGCAGACTAAAGCACAAAGTCACAGTTTCACATGCTTTGCAGTAAAGTTAGTTTACTGGTCCAATAGGATGAAAGCCAACTCTGTTTTTACATCCAAAACAAAGTGGATGTCGCTCACACACCATGTCTGCACACAGTCACTGTAAGTTACATAAAAAACAATAATGCAACATAACTGAGGTGGAGGACCCATTCACTGCAGTAACGTTACTATGGTAACTAACTGTGAAGTGGCAACAATCTCATAACATTCAGCTCACAAACCCTTACTTTATCATCCAAAACATTTTGCTGTGCTCACATCGCTGAGCCTCCAGTGAAAGACGCACAAATAGTTATTAAACAGCTGTAACGAGCATGGGTTAGTTCAACCTCCAGCTGATAAAAATACTGCTGTAACGTTGCAGTGAGAGTTCCCAGCACGTTGTGTCTACTATGCATCAGAAAACCACACACCTAGAAAGACAGTGGTTGCAATCAGAAACTGCACTGTGGGAGGCCCCTAAAACCTATACATGGCCCCTTTAAACAAAATAAAAAGGGTTTATGGATAAAATTCTACCTAACTTATTTCTCAAAATAAAGTATCAGGAAACAGCATTTGTGTTTTTGTCCATATCAAATCTCTGCTATAAAAATACATAAGCAACTAAGTACATTTACTGAAGTACTGAAGTGCAGTTCTGAGGTACTTTCCCTCTGAACTGTTAGTGAAGTATAAAGTATCAGAAAATGTTTACTCATTTTTAGTAGCTTTGGATAAAAATATCTAACATTTGAGGTACAACAAGCATAAATATTTTTACTCCACTACAGTTATTTGATCATTTTAGATACTTTGCAGAATCAGATTAATACTAAATATAATCAAAAAGGAAATTGTGAACTAGCTACATCTCATCTCTCATATATCTGAGAATTTTAAAACCCAATATACTTGGTTTTTATGCTTTTCACAAAAAGATAACACGAACAATAGTAATAACCTTAGATACCAATTTATCTGCATTCAGCTCATATCAAGCTCTACTTTTAAATATATTTTGATTCCAATATTTCTGTACTTTTGCTCAAGTAACATTTTAAATGCAAGATTTTTACCTGCAACAGCTTTCCTACACTGTAGTATTTATAGATCTGAGTACTTCTGAGCCTTAAAGCTGAAACTATCTGCAGCAAACAAAGAGACTTGAGAAAACAGCACGCCGCTCCATCATCCTGTTTTATTCACATCAGGTTTGAAGGATTCAAGACATTTGTTGGATTCTCAGACAGACATGCAGCCCGACTCGTCTGAACCGAACACAGAGGGTCGACTCATTCACACACTTACTCGCACACTCACTCACTCTCTCTCACTCTCTCACACACACACACACACACACACACAGTGGTATGGTAGGCACACTGTAGTGGAGAGCTCAGATGTGTCGTCTCAGACAGTCGATCAAAAGTAGGCACTTCTGAAGCGGACAGTGATGAAAGTTGAGTCTCAGAGGAAACTGACAGCTGCGGTCACGCCTCGTCATCCAGCTCACTTTGAACTAAACACAGTTTCTGACTGTCCTCTGGGTGGGTGGGTTTGTCCCTAAACTGTAGGTGAAGTCATTTATTTTTACCACATTTCTCTGTCACATTATCTCAGGATAGGAAAGTTTGGTTTTCTTGCGATAACGGATATGATCTCCCGAAAACGAATATTTTCTCTACGATGAACTTTTTAAAGTTTAAAAGCTGATTAATGCTGTGAGACAGAAACCAGAAGAGAAGCTGTCTGGTTTGATGGGATCCAGGTTCTCTTCCGATTCATCGCTGCCTGTAGTGTTCAAGTAGCTTTCAGAGACTGATTAACCTGACGGTGACGTGACCGCAGCTGGACAGCTGTGTTTTGTTTGGTCGGAGTTCAGAACAGAAAATCTGATGTTTGAAGAAAACTGCGTTTGCTGTAAGCACCGGTGTTCTCAGGTGTTCTGACTCTGCTCAGGCTGAAGCTGGGAGCTTCAGCGGGAGTTTAGAGGGTTACAGCTCTTAACAGGCGAGTGAAAAATTATCCACCAACACTCAGCCCTGAGTCTAGTTTCCACTCCAGGTAAACAAAATACCACTTGTATTCAAGTGTGTCTGTATTAGCACAACAAGCCAGAACACCTGGGAACATCTGTGTGGTTGTACCACAGCTGTGCAGCAGGTTTAAGGATTCATTACCCAAAATCACGTGATGACCGGGTGTCTAATCGTGCGTTTTAAGGCGTTCCTTCTAAGAAAACTCGCTTTGTCTACATAAATTAAACTCCTCGACTGATGAACTAAGCTCAGAGTTTTAAAGAAAAACCGCGTCATCTAAAATTTCACTTGATAAGTAACTTTGATCAGTTGAAAAGGTCAGTAAATACTGCATTATATTGTCTGCTCATGTTTAAATGAGCTCAACCAGTAAAGCTTTTAGTGCACACTATGTTTCACACCATTTTATTTAGGACAATGTTTGAGTATGAATAAATGAGGAGTACTCGTTTTCAGTTTGTTAGATGACAGCACCTGAAAGCAGCACCAGAAATGTTTCGGGTAAACTTCAGCTTGATTGGTTCACATCTCGCGATGTGATCATCTGTGATTGACAACTGATAACACCGGGGAAACATGATCTCTCACATGATTGTTTTCTAACTTTCCAGGCAGCGCTCGCTTACTTTCATTCAGGAAATTCTGCTAAGAAGATCCACAGTAGATATTTTAGTAGATAGATTTAGAAATGAATCAGATTTTCTGTTCTGTCGTTTCTCACTGGAAAGAAACAAAAAGCTCATGCAGATTAAATAAAGCTACAGCAGGAGGGAGAAGGATCGACAGTAGTTTGAGTTAACAGCTTATTTCATGCTTCATGTTCTGCAGTCAAAAAAACTCATCAATTAACTACATGTAGAAAAATGACCATCTGCCGGGGCCTGAATATCACTCAGCTGAAACTTGATGCATGGTTGGATTGTTTTAAAAGAGAAGAGGGGGAAAAGTGCAGTTGAAGAGTTTATTTTCCAAATTAGAGACTTGTTTTACTTTGGTAGCAACAGGATGTAGCTGAGAGTTGATTCTTCCCCAAATGTTTAGGAAGTAAACTCTTCAACGACACTTTTTTAAAATCAGCTCCTGCTTCTTTAGGGCTCCTCCAGGTCTCAACCTGTCTGGTATTCCATAAGAGGTCTGGAAAATCTTCTTGTTCTGAGTATAAAAGAAACCACGTCTGTTTTCAGCCGTCTGGATAAAAATCAAACCAGACGATGAACGAGGAAAAGGTTTGGAAACGCCGTGAAGGAAACCTGTCGATTCTTTCAGAGCAGGAAGTAGAAAAAAACCCGGTTCTTTCCAGAGCGAATCACATCTTCCCCCCGACTCCTGAACCCTCGGCTGTGAGGTTTTAGCAAAAATCTGCGAAACCAGCGGCGGAAAAAAATTGTTTTCAGTGTGCGTTGATGATAATTCCCTTCGGCTCCAACATCCCGTCCCCGCTGGAGAAAAAGTCCACCACAGTGGAGAATGTTTTCAAGACAGAAAAATAAATTACCCCGCCATTATCTAACAGTATCTACACCCTTCACTCCCGTTAAAACTATAATTTAATAGTATTTCTGTTGCACACAGTGAGATGAGTGGCAGCAGTTTTTAAGGAGGCTCTGTGTGTTGCTTCATAGAGTATTTTAAGGTGGAGCTGTTCAGGAAGCCCCGGCGTGTTTCTGCTCTTCTCCTCTCCCAGTTTTGTGTTTTTGGTCCCTTGGGGCCTCCCCAAGCTTCAGCCGGCCGCCGTCGGCCCCCGAGGTCGGCAGCCCGTCTCCGGGTGGCCGGGTCGGTCGGTTCTGGACGTCTCGTCGCCGTCCTCCATCACCTCTTCTGCTCCCAGATCTCTGCCATGTTCAGGTCGAGCCGCTCGAGGCTCTTCAGCGCCTGGACGTTCTCCGTGTAGAACGCGACGTCCACCACCACCAGCCTGCAGGCAACAACCCGTCAGTCAAACAACCAGACCTTTAATTATCAGCTGCTCTGACTGTCGATGCGTGTGGCGCAGTTACCCGTGCTGTGGTCCTCCGTCGTTAACCACCCCGAGTCGAGCCAGCTGCCTCTTCAGGTGCATCTTAAAACCGGCGTTGATCCTCAGAAACAACATCTGTACAGGAGAACACATCTGTCTGAGGCTGCGACATATTCACACTGCAGACAAACTGGACTCCCAGACCTTTTCCGGGAATCGTTCACAGATAAATAAACCCAGGGCCAGCCGGGCCATAGACTGTTGCTTAGGGCAGCAAGAGAAGGTTTTCGACTCAAGTAATAACTAGTGCTGGGCAACGATTAAAAAATTTATCGCATAATTTTCTTGCTATTAATCGTATTGTTATGCGCAAAACTGAATAATGAATTCTAAAGTAGTGTTTTGTGCACTTTTAATTTAAATGTACTGCTATATACACAAAAGTGCAATAACGTGTGGTTTGCAAACACTTTGCTTTTTCCCAGCAGTATTCCCTTTACACAGCAGCAATAAAAGATTTCTTTCAATATTTATTTCTTAAACATTAATGTAATCTAATCAAATATAAAAGCAAAGCTGTTTGCCACTGCCAGGGCGTTACCTTTTATAGCTTGTTAAGTCCAGCAGCATGATCATAACATCATAACAGGCACCTTCTGAGCAACAGGTTGACATATATAAATCTGTTTCCAGGTACCAGCAGAAATATTTTTATTCTATCAGAGAGCAGCAGAAACAGTCTGTGTTCAGAGTGACGTGGAGTGGTCGAGCACAACAATTCGACAGCTGGGATTTACTGTGCAGGGGACTTATTAGTCTGTGAAGTCTATGTTTGTAATGGATTTCCTTTAGAGAGTCAAAAAAGAAATAAAAACAACACTTTCAGGGATGCAGGTGGAGTAGTTCGCTACACAATTATATTATATCTTATATTTTAAACTGTCACCTGCATTTTGTGTTTCCCTTTACATATACAAACACATTTACACCATAAATTGATGCAGAAATTAGAGCAGACCAATATAAAGTCTCACCAAGAGGCCGGCCCTGAATAAACCACATCTCGGGACAGTAAACCTCTTTAATAACAGAAGGAGAGGCAGGTGTGTTGTGTCTCACCTGTGTCTGTTCTTCAGGTAAAAGTTCAGAAATGGCTTCGTGCATCTTCGCCATCTGCTTACAGACATTTCTGAAGCAGGCCGAGGGCATCGGCGCCTTCACTTCATACTGAGAAAACAACAAAACAACATCCTTAAGGCGAGACACGGCATGCAAACACAGTTTTAGCGTGCACCGGCTATTTAGCTTCCATAACATGTTCTCTTTCAGACTACTGGAAAGAAAACACATTTAGTGGTTTATTTTACTCCAGTTTGTTTCTGTGCGTCTGTAGATTACTTCTAAACTGCCGCTGTTGATGTCTGCACCATATGACCGCCAGGACCGTTGGAAAGCTGTGATCAAACGTGACACCTGGATGAAGGATCAGTGTAATGACGCTTACATACAAGATGCAGAACACCAGCTTTACAGAAATGTCTCCTAAACGCTGCAGTTTAACTAAAAAAAGCTTAAACCTTTAAAACCTGAACTCACCTTTGATAAAACCTTCTCAAACAGACTGTCCATGATGGCCACCAGCTTAGCAGAGATCTCCGATATGTGATCATTGTAGTCCTTAAAAGCAAACAAACAGTCCCAACGACACCTTTTCACCAAAATACTTCAAAGTACAAAACAATTGTTTTGATTCTTGGGGTCAGAATTCTTCCCATAATAAAGCTGCTTCCAGTGTTTTGATCGTAGAATGAAGAAATGTGAGGACGTTTGTGTGATTGCTGTGCGTTACCTTGGTGATGTGGTCAAAGTGTCTGAGGACGCTGTACTGTTTGGGCTGCAGCTTGGTCTCAAAATGAGCTCTGATGATGGGAATGTAGTGAACCACCAGCTGCAGGCAGCGGGAAGCTAATGCTACACACACAGAGAGATAGTGTCTGAATATTTGGCAGCAGAGGCAACGCTTTTAACTATCGTCTCCGTTTTCAGACAGACTGAAGCATTAAAAGCTCCTTTACAAATCAAACTGGTGTGTGCAGCTGGTCGTACCGAGGTTTTTGGTAGTGATGGTCTTGAGGCCGACAACTTGCAGAGCTCCGGCTCCCAGAACCAGCTGGCAACTCCGAGAGTTGAAGTGCTGCAGAAACACAACAGAAGGACAGTTTTGAAACTCAACGCTAACAGCATGACACTGCAGGGCTTCCCATTGGATGACAGTGTAACGGCGGCGGGGGCAAGTGTGGTTACATGTTTTATTTCACCCTTTTTATTCTACTCTCTACATGCTCGCCTTGCTTTTCCCCCCACACACCTAACACCTCCTGCCTCTCTGCAAAACAGACGCGCTGGCCCCGCCTCCCGCTGTATGTGTCTGCGCCGCTAACTTTCTCCTTCAGTAGTTTTATGAAGTTGCAGAAAAGACACAGAACTCATCTGGATTTTCCATTTTCACATGTGGAGGAGGCTCGGTAATGATGAAGACTATCGCAACAGTAGAAACCAACGTGGCGCTGAATGAAATCTGCAAAGGTGTGTTCACTGCTGCTGCCCCTGGTCCGTGCAAATATCCACGGTGTCCGCATCTTGTAACGTAATACCAGAAATTTAAGCACAAAGGCTGCAGTCGCTGCTTTTTTCCAACTTCAAAAATAGAACCACCTTTTGACTGAGATCAGCTGTTGCTCTAAGCTCACAGTAAACTCTCGCTGGTAGAATGTGTCCAGTTTCTATACTCCACCTCTGCAGTCGCCTGCAGCTCACAGACTACCAAGTCAGTCGCAGTCATCTCCGACTACTGTAAGATTTTCACAGCTGCAGATTTTGATGGAATCAGGTACTGGCTCAGGTTAATGGTTGGTCACAACACATAATTGCTGGACGTGCGTTTTAAACATGTTTCATCAGTGATCAATGAGTGTTAACTAATATTGAATTACTTTTTGCTCACATTAAAGTAAGCAATAATAAATGACTCGGCAAACAATATAATAAAGTCAAAACAGAAAGATTTTACACTGATATAGGTCAACGCTTTCTGTCACATTTCTCAGCCTCCCAGATTTTTCATTTTTCAGAACAACAAATGGAGTATAATGGAAAATATAAACATGGAGAATTTAGGTTCTTCTCAGTAACACAGCTCATCAGTGAGGCGGTTCTGACCTTGAGGAGGTCCGACAGACGCGTCAGCATGTCGGTGCAGATGGATGGGATGTCGTTGACACACTGACAGTATTCCAGAAAGATCCGGATCAGCAGCAGAACCGTCCTGAAGAAGCAGAAACCCTCACAGCTCAGTGTCTTCGTTATGCAGATTGCAAATCACTGTGTGTACTCTTGAATAATATATTAACAGTAACTGTGTGATTACTTCAAGTGCTGTGTTACATCAGAAATGTTTAACCCTTCACTGAGGGAGTGCACATACCCAACGACGGCGTATTTTTGCCCGTTGACGAGCAGAAACTCAGCAGGCTTCCTGTCCTCTGAACCTGCACACAGAAACTGAACATGTTAACTGAAGTCTTCAAACACTTGTTCTGAGAATAATCATGAATGAATTCTTGAGGTTATAGATTCCAGTTCGGAGAAGTCTCCTCACATTTTTATAAAGACAGCCTATAATATTTTAGCTTATATTGTTTATTTTATTTCCTAATTGAAATGATTTGCTTCCATCAGAACATGTGGCAGTCATGTTCTCAGACATTTGTAATGAACATTATCAGTTTAAAAAGGGTTACTCTCTCAGCCGTGGATGATAAAGTAATAAAGGGTATATCTAACAACCCTTTGGTTGGGTGGGTTCAAACAAAGGGTGGTATGTCCTGAGTTCTTTAACACATCTAGATGTGAATACCAGGAAATGAGAGCTGAAATTCTGAACTCTTGTCTCATCCTCATCTTTTGATCTTAAAGCCAAATGTCTTCAGGGAACAACAAAAACAAAGGAATTTGCCTTACTGTTCCAATACTTTTGAAGGAGACTGTAGATGCTTTTCAGTTCTTGTGTATTGTTTCTGTTTGTGTCTGTGTTTATGTTTTAAGCGTAATAAAGATATTGTACGAAACAAAATGTAGCAGAAAGTTGGAACATTTCAAAGACAGAGCTGTTTTAGTTTTAGTAGCCTTATTGATTGATTCAAACTGTGTGCAAATTCCAGTAATTATTTTTACTGCAGTTGGGTTTTTTGGGTACCTGGGATTTTGCGTTCTGGTAGTGTTATTCTTCCGTCGGCGATGGAGTTCACCAGATCCTGAAACTCAGCAGGAACCTCGGCCTGCTTCCAGCGCTCATTATCCAGGAGGAGGCTACACAAAACAACAACAACAACAACAACCATCATCATCATCAAGACACACAACCAACACCGTCGCTGCATTCATGGAGGGTCACGCTTCAGCTTCTGGGTCAGTTTATAAGGTCAAATTAAACCAGGACTTCAACTGCTGCAGCACCTTTTCACATGTAGTCCCCCCAGATCAAACAGGATCAAAACATTAGTTGTCTCCCGCTGTTTACTACCTGTACAGATTTTTTCCGAACTAAGTTCCCATGGTGGGTCGACGGAAGGGGAGGGACTTAGTCTATGACGTGCTTGTTGAAAACAGCTGATTTTGTGATTATTATTTGTGCCATTACCATCATGTAACAAAAGGTTATTCATTGTTGAAACGAATCAGAATCACCAAGTAATACAGTAGTTCATAAAAACTGAGAGCTTTTCCTGTCTGACGAACAGACATCAGTGTTTCCACAGACTGTTGCGTACTAGAGCAACGGGCAAAACTGAAAACCACTGAGGTGTCCATACTCCTGCGCTACATAATGAGCTGCTGGTAACCTGAGTTTGGTCTTGCGCTCTTCGTGGAAGCGGTGGACGAAGCGGTTGGCCTGGCTTTGCAGCGCCCCCCTCAGGGAGACGCTCCGCCTGCCGCACAGCTCCTCTGTGTCTCTGACGAAACCCTCCACCGCCTGAGAGAGGGACACAAACTCGGCCGAGCTCAGACGCTCCAGAGAGCCGTCCTGTTGGGAGACAGAGACGATCCAAGAGGTCAGATAGAAAGTTCACCTTCACCTCACTTTAAAGACATTTCTCTCAGTCAAACCTCTGCGGATATAAAACAAACTCTGTGGACTGAAGCATCATGGGATATGAAAACAATTTACATTTGCCTTATAATGTGATGTTACTGTGAATTAATGATGCATTTTCTATAGTTAACTAGTTGTGAATTTTCTATCAAATGCTTATAGGTCTGGTTTAGGGCTATGAATAATTAGAAAGAAAACGTCTTGATCGGGGATGGGGATTGTTAATTTTATTGATAATGATACCATTTGCGACTGCCTAACGATCCGAGTTGTTACCGATATCACTACTGAA